ATAAAGATCAGAGGAAAAGTGGCCTAAAATGTAACTAGTCCACCCATATGAACTAGTCCCTATGAACATGAATCTATGCATCTTCACAAGGACTTACATTCGTATGCTCATAGCAGCATTATTCACCATAGCCCCAAACTAGAAGCAACCCATTTGCCCTGATAGATGAGTGGATAAACGATATGGTATCCATGCGATGGAATACTACACAAGCCTAAGAAGGATGAACAGTTAACATGGGCTACAACATAGATGGACCCCAAAGACACTGCTAAATGAAAGAAGCCAGAGGTGGGAGTCTGCAGGTCTTATGAAATGTCCAGAATACTCAAGTTTTAGAGAAGGAAAGCAGATCCCAGTGGCCTAGGGATAGAGGCTGGCAATAGGGGGCAGGAGGACTCATTTTGGAGTGATGGAACTACTCTACATCTGCACTGTGGTGATGTTTTTCTCAATTCTGTGCATTTGCTACACATCACTGAACTGCACACTTAAAATTACTGAATTTTATGGGGTAAAAATTATACCTCCATAAAGCTATAAAAGTATCTGTGTGGGTCCTGTGGACGCAGATGCCAGTTGAGAGGCCTTTCCCACTCTCTGCTTGCAGGAGACTTGGGCATGCCAGCCCGTGGTGTCTTTGGCCCTAAGACCCTTACCCTAAGGACAGGGCTCTCTCTGGAGACTTCTCCATGGAAGGTGTCAGCAAGGACCCACTTGTTCCCAGGGAGCTGGTAGAAGAGATATTGGTGTTTTCTTGAAGCACATAAGAGCCATTTTATAGGCCATTTCAGGAGACAGTAAATGATTTTCCAACCTAAATGGCTTTCTCCTTGTAGAAATGGCTTCCACCACAGGGACATAAGAAGCACCCAATTTGTCATTTTCTCAGGGAAAAGCAGTGGATGGTTCGTGGACCCAAAATGGGCTAGTGGCTAGGCTAGATCTCCAGCTCACCCTCTGTGATCTGGACATTGCCTCTGGGTCCTGTTTCTTCTGGAACAAAGTGTGACTCCTCTGTAATTCCCCTAGGGACTGGCATACATCGTGACTGTGGGGGAGGTGGGACTGACACCCAGTTTGCCTGGCAACCCTCAGGATTCTGAGACAGTTCAGAGGGACTCGTGAGCTCAGGCTTGGTGACGTGTYACAGTGCAAGGAGTATCCCTGTGCAGAAGAGGGCATGCCCCCCCACACACATATACTTACACACACACACTGTTACACACACACTGTCCCACACACTCTTACATCACACACACACTTACACTCACATATTCTCATGCATACACTCACACACCAACACACTCACATACTCTAACACACACACACTCTCACACACACTTCCAAACACACACACATTCTCTCTCTCTCTCTCTCTCTCTCTCTCTCTCTCTCTCTCTCTCACACACACACACACACACACCATTCTGGCAACAGTGCTTAGAAGGGCCCACCTGCCCTGCAGATATCTGGGTGGATTAAGTGGCCTAAACAGAGCATCTAACAGTGACACAGCTACAGGGAGATGCTTGGAACCACACAGAGAATCTGTCAGCACCACCGTTGGGACAGGATGTGATCTGTGTCTTGCTCCCAAGCTGCTACCTGCAGGACAAGAGTGGAATTCAAGGTACAAGAAGATCCTAAGCAGATGGTCTGCTAGCAGAGCAGGTGGAGAGTGAGACCAAGGTGACACAACGGGACTCTAGTCATACACTAATGGCCAGAGAGCTGTGTGAGGCTCAATCGTATTGATTTCCTGGAGGCACTGCCTCTCTCGGCTCTAATGGAGTGAAATCAAACCGGCAGTACTTGTCCTGAAGCTTAGGAGGGGGAGTCACAAAAGTTTCCTGCACTTGAAGACTTGAGAGGCTCTGAGGAGGGATAAGCCCTCCTTGCCATGACTCCATGTCTGAAACCTATTGGGCATTACCTGGACAGCTCGTTGAGGTCCAGTTGGGGAAACTTGGCCTGCATTTCAATGGTGGATAAAAACAGTGCCTGAGGACTGTTTGTGGTGTTGCTCTTCCACGTTTCAGCCCTCTGCTTGCACTTCCTTCYGAAAGGAGGGTCCCTTGACACCTGGATTTGCTCCTGTCCCTTCCACAAACCTGGAAGTTTCTCCTGCTGCATGATTGAGCAGCCCCATGGGGCGGGGTGGGGTCCRTGATGCTGCTGCCCCTGGGCAGGTCACACACGCTCTGACACTGGACGAGGCTCCTCCCTAGTCAAACCCTTTCTGTCCGGCCAGGCTCAGCCTCACTGCAGCCTACTCTGGTCACTAACAGGGCACACCGGCCACGCTATCTTCACGACTGCTGGTTACGGTTGTGGTTGGAAGTCTCTGCATTTTGCACATAACTGTTCTTAATTCTTTTTTGGGTGCGTCCTGTCACTCCCACAKTTCCTGAAGGACAGTGATCACACGTTGCACTTGTTCCTAAACTAAAGCTGTGGACACAGGGCAGATACTTCCTGCCAATCTCCTGTCCGGTGGAGATGTTCCTGGGAGTCGTTACTGCACACAGCCCAGAGAGCTTTATAAAGTCTGTGCTGGGGTGTGTTAGGTTAAATGACTGCAGGACGGAGACAACGCAACCTCGGTTTTGCTGAGTGAGTGGGTCTGTGTCCGTTTGTCCTGCACAGGACCGCTGATGTGTCCTTGTGTCCTGCACAGACAAGAAACTGTAGAAAATGCAGCAGCAGCAGCAGCAGCAGCAGCAGCAGCAGCGAGAGCTCTCTTATTATAGGTTGCTTTTCATTCTTGCTTCTCAGTACTTTTATAATGTGTTTATAAAGAACGTTTTGTATTTATAGAGGGAAGAGGTATCTGGAAGTATTAAGAATATGTGAGGTGATGAAACTGATATGTGATTATTATTATTATAAGAGACTCAATGCAGTGACTGGAGGGTTTGCAATGAATTAGGTTTTGATGTCTGTTCCTTTTTAAGGGTCTGTTCCACTGTTTCTCAAAGTGTGTTCCAGGGCACACCAGGACCTACCACAGATGTTACCCACTTAGTTAAGTTAGCAGGCAGGCACGCAGGCTGTAGCAGCCTCCTGGGAATTCACCATGTCTGTGCCCTAAAGATTCCTAAAGCAAAGAACCTGTCAGTTCTATTTATTGTTTTCCAAACTTACCAGCAGCCACAGACTCCTTTTCTCTTATCATTCCTATTACCGTGTTGCACATTTGAAAACACGGTTCAATCTTACATGTTATTTTTAAAGAAGAGTTATGAGTTTAGTTTACAGAGTCTCTATTTTTTGTGCATTATTGATATTCCCTTGGTTGGAGGATTGGAGAGGGCACAAGGCTAGAGAAAGGCTGCTCAAGCACAAAGCCATTTCAGCAACATAAAATCACAGGATCCGGTGGCTTTCTCTTTCCCTGGGAATGTGGCATAGCACCAGCACTCAGGCCCCTGTGTCCTAAAGCTTAATTTGCCATAACAGCACATTAACTGAGGAAATGTGCCCTGAGCTGAATTTGTGCAGCCTCCCCCGGAGTCCTTAAGTGGGGGTTTTGAGGGGGAGGCCGAGTCTTCATCTCCAATTGTCTTTCCAGGGGAGCTGGGGGCTGGGCTTCATTGAGAGAGAAAACTCCCTGCCCCCCACACGCACCCAGTTATCCAGTAATGAAGGGCTGCAGAGGCTATTAAAACTGGCAGGTAATCGGGGTGTACACTGAATCTGGGTGCTTCTACCTAGAATGGAATTTACCTTAAACTGTGGGAATTCACCATGAGCAAAGTTAAGAAGTCATGGTGGGAGGACATAAAGTGAAAGGCTGGAACTCTGTCTTTCTGTCTCTTGTGCCCGCCCCACCCTGCAGCTGCTGGGTGTCAGCAGCTCCCAGGGGGACTAAACACTTGGTTTTCCAGGGCTTCAAAATGGATATACACACACGGGAGAACCAAGAGATTACATACTACTAAAGCAGAAAATGAAGACAACAGAAATCATGTTAAACAGGCTTCGAATCAGCCTTTGACTAGTCACGTAGCACTTGATGATCTTTGACTAAGACAGACACGGTCGAGGCTGGCAGTTAATGACAGGATTAGTGAACACCCACTTAACAGCCTATGTTGAACCAGGATTTTCCCCATAAAACTGTTTCAAACAGCATACAAAATTTGGKTTAATGTTATTAAAGATCACGAAATGACCATTAAGTTTAAATGATGTGTAGAAACCCTCATTTTCTGTACCCTGGAGTGAGGTGCCCTGGCAGCTGGGTGCCCATTCAGCTCAGTGCCGGGCAGAGCACACTGGGGCAAGTGGGCKGCCTGCTGGAGGGCTGCCTCTGTCCATGGTGACTCTGATACCAGCCACAGATCTGTTTAACTTTCCAGCCGACTGACACACACACAATCATGAATGAAAAGCAAACAGTGGAAAATAACGCCTTTCACCTCCTTGTACTCTGCAGGAGCAGCTCACGGCTRCAGCCTGGTTTCCCCAAGGGACACAGCTCTATAATGGAGTGTCCTGTCTGTGGCCTCTCACACACTAGCTGCCAGAGGCTGCAGTTTTTAAGTAAAGCTTTGAAGTGGGACCAGAGTCCATCCACAGGAAGCTAGTTCGAGCATATGGAGAAAGGGTCCGTGCGTGGTCTCTGAGCATTCAGAGTAAGAGTGTGCCTGTCAGTAACAGGCAGAGGACCTCCTGTAAAGGCAAGGGACTCTGAAGAGGTCAAGGCCTGGAGCCTCTGTGTAGGAAGTCCCTTCCAGGGCTGCCCAGCTCACCGAAGCTGCAGCATGCTCTGAAGTTTCCCAAACCGAGACAGGTCAACTGTTGGAATCAAGTTCTGGTTAGGAGCCTGGGGAAGGCCTGAGACTGCGTTTCCAGCAGGCTCTCAGGAAATGGGGTGATGGAGCTGGGATGGGTCTACTTTTGGCACCCAGCACCTGGCTCTGGCGCACARGACATGGCAGCTGCCCTGCGCCTGGTCTCGGTCTGCAGGCCCTTAACTGCCTTCTCTTCCCCAGGGGAGGAGCGCCCCCGGGAGCCCCCGGGCCCGGCGGAGGCCCAGGCGCCGGGCGGGGCGGAGGCCAGCGGGAGGACCAGCCGCCGACGCTGGACATGCTCGAGGGTGCAGCTGCACAAGACCTTCTGGGGCGTGGCTGTGGTGCTGTGCGTGTGCGCCTCCTGGGCCGGCTCCACGCAGCTCGCCAAGCTCACCTTCGCCAAGTTCGACGCGCCCTTCACCCTCACCTGGTTTGCCACCAATTGGAACTTTTTGTTCTTTCCGTTGTACTACGCGGGGCATGTCTGCAAGTCCACCGAGAAGCAGTCTGTGAAGCAGAGATACAGGTAGGCCCTCCTGACCCTGACCATCTGTCCCGGGCAGTCCCAGGACGCTGGCCCAGGTGGGAGGTGGGAGCCAGGGACAGTCTGAATGCACCTGCTCATTCACTGGGCCAGGACCAGAGTCCTCCTCACCCTGGCTGGTGAGCCTCTGCCCCCACCTCCAGCCCGCAGCCCTACCAGCTGCTTCCCTTTCTGTGAAGCAGGAGCAGGCAGTACCCTCCAGAGGGGCCTGAGTACTTCCCAGGTATGGAGGAATGGAGCAGAGCTCCTCCCAGCTGGGATGAGGACCTCGAGTCCCTGGAGCCAGGTGCCTGGGAGCAAGACATTGGCTCCTTTGTTATGTGATTGCAAGGTCTGGGTGTCTGCAGTGTGGAGACCAGAAGCAGAACAGTGTGTAGACTTCGTTGACTACATTGCACATGGGATTGATGCCCCTTTCCAAATAAGCCCAGAAACCTGACCCCATCTCCGTCTGCAACAGCCTGACTCCCACCAAGGCCCCAACCCTCCCTTGGAACCCCATTGTTGGTGTTGATCCCCAGCTCCTCCAGCTGATAGTGCACCTCATGTTGCCCAGGTGGAGAACCATGGGGGCTGTCAAGGACTGGCTCAAGTCTGTCTCAGTCAAAAACCCCAAGAAAGACTGCTGGCCAAGGTGTCACCATAGGCCCTGGAAACTTGTCTTTTATTAGTCCCAGAGGTGAACAGAAATTTCGAGGTGATGACAACCAGTGCCTTCTTCTTCCCCACCTCATCCCACCCCACCCCAACACATACCCCTACAAAATGGCCAAGTCCTGTCTAATGTCCACTTCAAACCTAGCCCTGTCCTGAAGTTGCCCTCCCAAGCCACAGATTAACTAAGCCCATCACTGGAGCCAAGGAGGAAAGCGGTTTGGAAATGGAATTCTAGATGGGATCAGAATTCTCTTGGGAACTCACCATTCTGTCCCCAGAGACTGGAGATGCAGGTGCCATACTCCTTAAAGGTCCTGGCTCCTTTAGAAGACCGGTTTGTAAAGTAGAGCAGGAGTTCTGGAGGAACAGGCCCTGGGSAGCCACCCTCAATCAGCTGAGACACCCAGCCAGCCTTGTATGTCCCCTCAGTGGAAAGGGTTTGGGGCAAATGTTGGGRATGAGGTGCGGTGCACAGAGCCCAGGACTGGGGCATCCTCAGGGCTGACTTCAACCAGTTGCTCAGAGCCAGCTGGAAATTGCCAAGAAGGCACTGAATGCCCCTAGCAGAGGTCTGAAAGCAAGTCTCATGCCCTTTCTCCACCATGAACTGGAGGAGCAGAGAYGGAGGCTCCTTGCTGGCATCAGCTGCTCCTGCTGGAAGGACCCCCTCTTCAACAGTAGCCACTGACCTGAGCAGGTGCCATGGCTGTGCCTGGGGACAAGGCTGGCACTGTGGCCACTTAGGGCAGCCCCAGCAACATTTAGACTGTTGGGCTGGAAACCACACCTAAGGAGTGAAGCTCAGTGGTGGTTGAAAGATCAAGGTAGGGAAAAAAAAAATGTCACTGAAAGGGGCCCATTTTGCATGAAAAGACAGCACTCCTTGACTTCAGTCGGTGCCTTCCTATACAAAGCATCCAGAAAGAATTTAGAAAACCTTGCAGGGACTGGTGCATTCACTAGAGAAAGTGGGGGAGTTTGCAGAATTCTACGTTGATTAGTGAAGCCACTTAAAACTGAGCCCAGTTTCTCTCACAAAGCTCAGCTCTATTTGCCAATAAAAATCTTTCTAATTGTTAGCCTGTGGCTGAGCAGAGCTGCTCATTTTCCAGCCAGGTTTGGATATTCGGTGAAGCCATGCATGCCATGAGAAAGGAGAAGAGTCTCCTCTAGGAGGGGAGAGAAGAATTTGAATGTCACCACAGACCCTCCTAAGGAAACCATGACTGTCACAGCTCAGATGGGGAGTGCTTTCGACAGCTTTTGCATTGCCAGAATGGAGGAACACTGAAATGACATCTTCTATCTTCATGCCTTTATCAGAGTTAATGAGAGAGAGCAGATGTAGGACCTGCTGAAGAGATGGATYCTTGGCTAGCAGTCTTAGCAGGRGGCTGGGAGACAGGAGGCCAGAAGACACCCATTGCACAGAGAGTGGCCTAGCAGACAAGCTGGCTTTCCTTAGTTATTAGGAAGCAGTCAGATGGAAGTTTCTTTCTCCAAGCCCTCTCCGACTCAGCTGCTATCCCCAGATGAAGCCATAGAAGGCAGGTGCAGCAGAGAGGGAGGTGAAGGTCCCTGGCTCAGAGCTCCTTGGGCTTGCCAGCCAGGCCATCGGACGCAGGGCTTCTGGGTGGCGTGAGAGGCTGCCCCCCTGGGGAGCATCCAGGATAGCCGGTGCTGCTGGACGGCAGGCTGCACTGTGACCMTAATGGCTCTGGAGTTGTTGAGTCTCAGTTATCAGTTTTTAAAAATGCTGATGATCTGACCCAGTGTAGGATCCAGACTCATCTGGCTACATGGAACTGACTGTGACTTGCTGTTGCAGCCCTGGTCCTTTGCCACTGGGGAGGGAAGCTCTGTGGACATGCCATTTAAGCTCTCTGAGCTTTAGATGCCCACTTATAAAAAGATGATTCAGACCTCGCCTTGTGCAAAATATTGCTGTGTGATCTTATCTGAAGTACCCTCTTATCTGCTGTCCACCACATAAATGCAGAGAAGTGTRTGCTATGACTCCTGTGGGCTGAATGGAAGGGTGCACCATGGCTTTGCTCATCCGCCGCCTTGCGCTGGCCCATTCAAACTGCAGAGAGCTGACCCCGAGGTACCACRCTCTGGTTCTCCTTGAGAAATCAACCTGCAGCCTGGTGGCTGCACAGGACATCCTAGAACACTGGCCAGGGTGCTCAYGATCAGACACTGGAGTCAGAAATTAGAACCCGAGTGACAGACCTCTCAGCCCCACTGACCTGGGATTTTGGCCCTTGACTTGGGGTGGTCCCAGCTCCTGGAGCACAGTGGGCGCCTCCCTCCCCCACGAGGGGCACTCCACCGTGTCTTTCCTAATGCTCGCTGACAGCTGTCTGACCTCACTGGATGGCCACAGGATGCCCTGAGGAAGCATCAGTGCCCAGAACTTRGGGACAGCGGGGACAGCTCCAGCCAAGGAAAAGCTTAAGTGCACTGAGTACCACAGTCTCCTGGACAGCTGTGCACGGCATCCGGAGTGGTGAGGATTCAGAGGAAGGCCACACCAGCTCTGCAGCTTGGAGATACTGTCAAGAGAGGTGTGAGGACACACAACCTCTGGGTCTTCTGACCCTGGGAGAGAAGGATGGGTTCCCAGGCCCCAGTGGCTGCTACCACCACCAGAATCCGGGCAGAAGCAGATGTGGTGCATTTGCAGTCATGTCAGAGGGTCTTCTGGGAGCTTCCAGCAGCAGCGACCTGTTCTCTGCTATCATGTAGCTACCCAATAAAGGTCACCGTGGTGGAAGTCTGGTGCAGTGGCAACAGATGTTGTCCTCTGCCTGCTGTAGTGTCAACCTTTTGTAAGCCAGCCAGTTGGCTCTGCCCAGGCACTGTAATGCCATTCAGAGCCGAGGAAGGGGGAGGGAAACTTGGATCTCTTGTAGTGCTACCCAAGGCTGGTGTGTGTACCTAGCTATACAGATTGCCAAGGAACTATCTTAGGTCTTGTGGCTGTTCAGAGTCTGAGGACCAGAGTGGAGTAGTTCCAACCTAGAGGTTGGTTTGTACTGTAATGGTTACCATGTCTTCTCTAGGAGATGTGCTAGGGATGCAATGATAAATTATCCCTGTCCCCAAGGATCCTCCAAATCTGGTAAACTAGGCAGGGTGTGTGCCGGGGAGTCCGGGCAGAAGCCTGGGTGCGTATGTCCTGGCAGAGTGGAAAGGTTTGTAGGAGGAAGTGAGCCAGGAAGAGCAGATGGCCCGCCAGCCGCTGAAGGAGGAGGTCAAGAACTCCCACGCAGACGGAGATGGAGCCCAAGGGAGGGCTCCCAAGAGTGTAGGAAGTGAGGCAGGAGGAAGGGCAGATGCTGGCAAGCCTCCTGCACCCTGCAGAGGAGCTTTGGCTCTGGCACATTTGTGGCAAGGACCATCAGAGAAGATGATCAGGTTGGATCTTTAGAAATCCATTGCTCCTATTGCTGTGTGGAGTGTGGGATAGAGCCAGCTGCAGATCGCCCAGTTCACCAAACTCTTCCTCCACGTCAGTGTGCCCAGGGCATGCAGGCAGATGTGGATGGCATGGATGTTGCTCCTGACCCTAAGGAGCTCACAACCAAATGGGAGAGAAGCCCAGGCCAAAACAGAAGGATGACKGAGGAGGTGGGCAATGGAGGGGACCAGACTGTCTTGACTGAAGCTTGGGCTCCAGCACAGGGTAGAGTGGGTCTCAGGCTTCACAGGCAGATGGAGACGCAGGTGGGAAGCACTCTGGGGCCAGCCCACAGCTGAGGCTTTAGTCTTAGGCACTGGGGGCTCCAAAAGCTTTTGAGCAAATCTGCTCCAGTCAGAGCTGCTTGGATTCATGAAGCTAATTTTAACTGGTACCACACATGTTCCCGTCTCATGTTAAGAGGTGGGATGACTGTCAGGTGTCTGTTTGGTGTGAGGGGGGTGCCTAGTTCCTGAGTAAGAACTTTGAGTGCAAATCTTGAAATATTACAGAACCAGGTCTCTTGCTTTGAACTGCCAACTTCCTCTTCAGCCTTCAGCAAGATCTTGTGTTGGTGAAAATCACTTCACAACTGTCATTTCCATCAAACTCCAGGATTCTGAAAATAAGTGGGAAATCTTCTTTCCAGGGTATTTGTACACATTTTCAGGCACAGCGGTGGGTGCCCTGTGGCAAGGACCATCAGRGGGATGATCAGGTTGGATCTTTAGAAATGTGTCTCCCTGCCCCATCAGGCCTCACCCTCTGTGGCYTTCTTTTCCTTTCTGGAGGGAGCCCCAGACACATTCCAGCCTGTTCCCACCAACAGCTGTTCATCAGGTGGAAGCCCCTCTGAAAT